CTGTCAGCAGCGGCGGTGGCCTCCGGCGGTCCGTTCTCTGCACCCGCGTCTTGTAACCCAGCCCCGCCCTCCCCCACTGCCGCCGCCGGCCGGCTCGCCGCCGCTGCGGCAGCGGGCGCCACGTTTGATGCAGCTGCATCTGCTGCTGCTGCTGCTGGTGGTGGTGCTGCTGCTGCTGCTGGCGGCTCATCGCCATACAGAGCGTCCAGGTCATCATCGCCTGCAGCAGTGTCCGCCGCCGCTGCTTCCGCCGCGGCCGCCGCCGCCTTGGGCCGCACCGCGCGGCCCGCCCTGCAGAGGGGAGGGCCGGGGCGGCGGGGCGTCAGCGTCAGGGCCGCCGCGCCAGCGGGGTGCTGGGGCGCTGCGGCTGCTGCACTGGCGTGTGGGGCACTGGCACCAAATGCAGCACGGCGCGGCTGCGCCGCAAGGGGTGTAGCAGCCCTCCCGAGGGGGCCGGCATGGCTGGATGATGCAATGCTGCGGAGCATGCTGGCTGCTGGCAGAATGGCTGCGATGCTGGGGCCGGCTGCCTGCGCCACGCGGCTGCACGCTGCGACTGCAGCCGCGTCAGCGGCAAGGCGTCGCTGCAGGAGTGGCCGCCAGAGTACTGCCAGAGCTGACGAAAGCATAAACTCACTCCTCGTCCAGACCAGCCGCCTCTGCCTCGCGTTTGCTCATCCGCTGGACTTGCAGAGCAGGCACAACGAAGATCAGGCGTATGTTCTACAAGACTCTTGTAAAATTTTCAGTTTATAAGTGCTTCGTGCACTTTCAACCCCTGTACTATGATAACTGCAGGGGAGTCGAAGTTGTTGCCATGATTTTGTCACCCGCCGCCGTCACCAGGCCCTGCGCATCGTCGGAGCCCAGTGGTGCCCATATGAGCATAAACTGGATTCACTGCCTTACGAAAGAGTACTGATTTCCTAAGCTCATGCCGTTGTGACCACCAACGGCGTCGTTCCGATCGCGATGGGCCCTCCCCGGACGCCCGGAAAGCAGGGATCGGCGCTGAAGAAAGGATTCAAGACCCCCATCAAGTCCGCCAGCAAGCCGTCGGCGGCCTCGAGCGTGCCGAGCAAGGCGAAAGCAAAGTTGCGTGTCGACAGCAGCAAAAATGAGGGCCGTGGTGACGATGCCTTGAATCCTCACCAGCAGCACGAGAGCGATGGCGAAGAGCAGCAAGTCGGGGCCCGGCACGGCGGCCAAACCGGTGAGTATAGTGCTGCGAGCTGCTGCTGCTGCACTGCAACCTGGTGGCCGTAGGCTGCCTGCTTGTCCTTGCCTGCATGGAGCTTGTCAGCACTGCGCCGTTGAATATATGCACCATGATTTCATGGTCGCATGCCGTGCTGCGGGTTGCGCTGACCCTGCGGTATTCGAGCCGCCGCCCCAAACACTTCCGCCTCCTGCTGGCCAACAGGACTGAAGCAGCAGCGGCAGGAGCAGCAGCGGAAGCAGGAGCGCCAGGAGCGGCGGCAGCAGCAGCAGCAGCGGCGGCGGAAACCAGATAGCGAGGACGGCGCCGAGCAGGGTGATGATGACGTGGACGGTGAGCAGCCCGGCGACAGCAGCGATGGCCGCGGCGCCCCATCCAGCGAGGATGGCCGCAGCAGCAAGGACGGGGGCGCCGGCGCGGCCCGCGAGGCGGCAGCAGCAGCAGCAGCAGGCGGCGGGGGGCAGGGCGGCGCGGGCGACGGCGGCTTGGAGGCTGTGGAGAGGGGCCTGGCGGCGCTGAATTCAGGTGGGCCCCTAAGCCACATTGGGACCAACAGGCACTGTATTCGATGTGATCGACTGCAGCAGGCTCCCTCTCAAAGGAATTAGGGCTCATCGCAGCGCGACCCCTGCCCATCAGCGATGCAGCGGCTCCGCCCGCCCCGCACGCTCCCCGCGTCCCCGGCTCGCGCTTTCCGCCGCCCCGCCGCGCACCCCGTGCTCTCCACACCAGCCCCCTTGTGTTGCTTCACAACCCCAAAACGGAACGACCAGCAGACGGCGGCGCGGCAGCGCTGCTGGCGGATGAGCCCGAGTTGCTGGCCCTCCTCAATGACATGCAGGGGTCGCTGGCGGAGGTGCGTCGTTCACGGCCCAGCGATCAGGGTCCACGGCATGCGCCTTGACTAGACACACACACACACACGCGCACACACACACACACACACACGCATGCACGCACGCACGCACGCATGCACACACACACACATGCACGTACGCACGCACACACACACACACACACACACACACACACACCTGCGCACGCATGTGCGTGTGCGCGTTCGACCCGCTCCGTGAGCGAGCTTTGAGATGGCTGCCACCTGCTGCAGCATCGCACCCGGTTGCCCGCGGGCCCGCGTCTCACCCGATACCCCCTCCTTTTCTCGCACCAACGCGCGCCGACGACCCGCGTCCCCGCAGGTCCGCGGCCGCGTCGCGCCGCTGCTGTCCGAGGTTGCGGGCGGCGGCCTCCGCACGTCCGAGGGGCTGTCGTACCTGGAGG